TGCAAGTGTAAGGACCTGAGGCTAATTCCCAGAACCCAAGTAAAACAAAACAAAACAAAAAGCCATGCAAAATGTGTGTTTGCAATCCCACAGGAAGGCAGAGACTGGTGGACCCTGGGCTCCATGGCCAGCCAACCTAGCCCACTTGGTGACTTCAAGGCCAGTGGATGAACCTGTCTCAGTAAAAGTGGTGGACACTGCCTAAAGAATAACACCCAAGGTGGTCCTCAGGTCTCCAGACTCATGCACACACATGCACCACACCCACATATACCTGCACACACAGCACCTCTGTCTCTCTCACTCCCTCTCCCCCATCTCATCCTCTGCTCTCTCTCTCATTCTCTTTCCAGGCCACCGTGTTAAGAGCCATGTGCGTGCACGAACACACACAAGCAAACAGCTCCAACTTCTTAAGCTCTTATGAGCTGGTTATGTTTATCCAATGTGCATGTAAAGAGTAAGGGACTATGAAGACAAAAAAAAAAAAATGTTCATTTCCACTAGGTACGCTACTAATTAAGCATGGGTGCTGTGAGTGGGATCAGAGAACCATTTGATTTGCAAAAGTAAATGACAGGACTAGGCATGGTCATACTGTAAACCTAGAACTCAGGAAGTATGTCTGCAAGTTTGAGGTCATCCTGGTCTACAGTGTTCACAAGACCCTGACTCAGCAAAGAGGGCAGGGTTCTAGGGCTACAGCCCAGGAGTGGGCACTCACTTAGCATCCTGAGGCATGAGATTCAATCCCCAGTACAAGGGGGGAGGGGTCCCCTCTGGACTGCTGATGTACAAGTGGCACTTGTACATCTCTGAAGTACAGAGAGGAGGATCAACTACAAAGAAAGTTTGAGGACACTCTAGGCTACCTGAGAAGATTTCAAAACACCAAAAACAAAACAAAACAAAACAAAAAACCACAAAACAGAAACAGCAACAAAATGTTTTTAGGACCCAATAACTATGTGTTACCATAATCTTATATATTCAAACATCAATAAAGGTCTCTACTTAAGTATACCGTAGTATATCAAATCTGTTCTTTCTTCCGAATAAATTCCTGATCTGCAACTCTCCCTGAAAAAAAAAAAAAGCAAACAAAAAACACAAACCAAACCAAATCTGTTCACTCACTTATTCCCAACTCAGAAAAGAGCAAAACATCCCAGCTGCCATGCGTAAGGCTCTGCTGTCGTATACTTGATTTGTCCCTAGTCTCGTTCCCAAACCTCATAGCCAAGGCAAGCACTTGCAGCTTCCTTGGTCTCAGCTGTTCACAGCTCAGCTCCCTCATGGTCGGTCTTGCCTCCACCAAATCTTTGCTCAAAGGATGGGTTAGCGAGGCATTCTCTCCTACAACTACAAACCCACTGCCCCAAGCTTGGACAATGGTCATCCTGTGAGGTTCTATTTACTTTACTTAGCTGCTCTGTAGAAAAAAGGGTATTTGTTTTGCTCTCCCTCTGTCCCTAGTGACTGGCACACAGAAGGCAACCCCCCTTGACTGGGTGTAGTGCCAAGTGCCTACAGGCCATTTACTCAAGAGGTTGAAGAAGGATGTTTGAGCCCACAGATTCATAGCTAGCTTGGGCAATAGAAGGAGACCTTGTCCTGAAAACTCTTAGATAAATAAAGAGGAAGCATTAAAGTATTCATTGGGTGATTGATAATCCTACTAACATTGTTATTTGCAAAATGAAACAATCAAGGATGCAAAGAAAGCATAAGCAGAAATAACCCATACAAGAAGGAATCGGGTTGAAGGTGTATTTTTTTTTTTGTATGTGTGATAAAAACAAGTTGATGTGGGCGTGGTGGCATACATCTGTAATCCCAGCACTCAGGGAGCAGAAGCAGTCATATCTGTGAGTTCCAGGCCAGCCTGGTCTACAAAGAGAGTCCAGGACAGCCAAGGCTACACAAAGAAACCCTGTCTCATAAAACAAAAACAAACAAACAAAAAGTTGAGAAGAGATGGAGAAGAAAAACTTGCTCATCTTGTTTTAAGTAGCCAGTGTAGAATTTTAAATGTTAAGAGATGACACTAAAATCCAAGCAGGAATTTCATTCCCTTTGTAAAACCAAAGCAAAGGGGAAGCTCTGAAACCCAAGAAGGCACTGCTGAAAGAGGCCCACAATCACAAAAAGATCCTACTACCTTCCAGCAGCCCAGCACACTAGGACTCTGGTAGTAGTCCAAACCGCCCTGTAAGACAACACCTGCAGAAGTTTCCGTCATTAGGTGGCCCCTGAGCACCAAGTCAGTCAAGAACAGAGTCCTAAAAGGCTACACCATATATTTTTTCTAAAGCGTTGTTTTAAAGTATAAAGCTGAAACAGTTGCAGAACGTAGCCTTGTAGTTTTCAATTCTCTGTCTCCATATAGTCCCTGTGTTTGCAGCTGCACACACACAACTTAAGAATGAGTCAGTTATAGCCTCCAGCCCCATCAGCCCAGTCTAACAAGCTCTGCAAATGATCCAGGACTGCAAGGCACGCTCAAGCTTTAGAACTGTTCAAACTCACCAAAGGACAGTTATCACAGCATAAGCCAATGAATGATAAGAAATCTAGCACACAGTCTCAGAGTGTTCAAAAGATGTATCAACTATAAAACCAACCAGTATTTCTGTCTTCAAATACAAAAGGGAAAGGAATCACTTTCAATAAATTACAATATTAAAACTAAGCAACCATGAGCACATCTTTATTAAAAAAAAAAAAAAAATTAAAACTCAAACCTCCACTCCCAATTCACTGATCCCTTTACTTCAGTATCAGCACGATCAAACTTCTAAGACTTCAGTTAAAAGCCCTTAACTTTGGAGGCTGACAGGGTATTCAAGGGAGAACACTTGTCTAGCATGTCTATGACTGAAGGTTTAACTCCAAGCGCCACAAAAGCAAAAAAAAAAAAAAAAAAAAAAAAAACTTTAGGAAAAATAAATAATGAAGGTATTTTCAAACTCTGTGCCAACCACACAGAGTAAATGTGTAAAAATGGTAAAAAAAAAAAAAATGGTATCCATTTTTTAAAGTAAGCTAATACAAATAAGCTGATCAGAATTATCTCAAGTTTAAAGTTCTAAAAGTGTTCAAGCGTTCTTTTAAAGAAAGCTAAATAATTTGAGTACTCTAATTTCCTCTTACTAATATATAGTATCTTTAGTATAAAACTAAATATCTACCATGTTAAGATCCATGCACGTTAAATATTTTTATACGCTTACCAATTTTAGCTAAGAACAGTAATACAATACAGTAAAGTCATCATTAAACCACTTGGAAAAGACCTAGCCTTGGGTTACCGCAAATGTGACCCCCCCAAAAAAGTAGCCATTAAAAGGATGATAGATCACAAATGTCTACCACAACCAAGCGTCTATGGTGAAACCCTCCTGGGGGGAAATCACCTAGTCATAATTCATGATCAGAACACTCTATACTGCAGTAGGAGCACTGAGCTCATGTTAACAAATTTCATGGAACATTTCTAACACTCAAGTTTATGTGTTAAGCCACAAGAACATACCTAACATTTTACACTATTGACTCAGTATTTAAACACCTGCCTCCTATCAAATATACTTCTACAAAGTAAATGGGTTTTTTGTTTGTTTGTTTTCTGAGACAGGGTTTCTCTGTGCAAAAGAGCTCTGACTGTCCTGGAACTGACCACACTGGGCTCCAACTCACAGAGATTCACAAAGATCCACCTGCCTCTGCCTCCCTGCGTGCTGGGCTTACAAGCCTGTGACACACAAAGTGAATGTTGACAATGGTTGATAACATTGTTGCTATCTAAACACACTTTATTGCCTTTCATTTCAAAACACTAAAATCAAATTTCTATTTCAGTGTTATTTTTAAGGGCAGTGATGGATGCACTAAGTACCAAACAGTCCCACATACTTCACTCATTCACCTTTGTTCCTCGCACACTTAATGGACACTGAATTGACATGCCTGGAGGGAAAGAATGGACACTGACTCTTAGAAAATTCTATTTTTTTTTTCATGGTTCCAGCTCTCGAGGTGATTATGAATAGTTGAGAGGTGAGACACATACGTGAAAAGCTTTTTTAAAAAAGCACAAAAAATTTACAAACATCACCTGGCAGACTGATTATTTTTGCAAGACTGGTGGCAAAAGAAACTGTGAATTATGACCAGAGTGAGAGGTATGAATTTGCAACCCTTCTTGGTTTCTGAACCAGACACTATTTCAATTTAAAAAGTAGAGAGATACAGCATTTACTCTACCCTGAAACTATCGACAAAGGAAGGAATACAATGACTACAGAGAATGCTATTCTTTAAAAAAAAAAAAAGAAAAGAAAAAAATTCCATACACGCTTTTAAAAGCCAGTGGACCGTCCTGAAAAAAGTTAGGACATTTTCCATACACAGTGGTCTACAGGATTCAGGACCTCCACAGGCTCCAAACAGAGTCTCAGGAACAGCATGCTCTAACGGGCAACCCTTCGGCCCCCCGCAGAGCCGACACTCCGGACAGATGCTGAGAAACTGCTCCCAGCATCCACCCGTAACCGCAATACTCGGAACGTGCTCTCCGGTATCAGACAGCAGCATCTCCCTCCAGAGGAAAAAACAGAGGGCGGGGGAGGCAGGGGAGAGCGAGCTCGCCGGGAACCTGCCGCGGCGAAGACCGCGCACACCCAGAACACCGGCCCGCACCCCCCCCCCCCGACCCCCGAGCCACGCCCCTCGCCGGCCAGACCTCGGCTGCGGCGGCGGCCGCCCCGTCCCGCCCGCGGCGGCCCCTCCGAGCTTCGGTCCCCGCCGCGCCCACACCGCCGAGCGACCGGTCCCGGGGGAGGAGACCGCAAGCGCACGCCGCCCGGGCTGCGGTGCAACCGCGCAGCGACGCCGTCCAGCAGGCGCAGGGGTGCGGACCGAACGTTCCGGCCGGCCAGGGGGACAGCGTCCAGGCCCAGCCCCGCTCCGGGGCCCACGCCGGGCGGGGTGGCACTTACTGCGGAGGTTGTGGATTAGCTCCGAGTGGCTGGCGCCGCCGGATTTCCAGGCCATCGCGAGGCACACCCGGAGCAGGTACAGAACCACCTTCAGCGCGGCGACGGTCCCCAGCAGTTTCCCCAAGAGTGAGACCACCTCCCACGCGGTCACCGCCCCGCCGGTGTCCCCGCTCGAGCGGCCGCTGTTACTGCCGTCGCCGCCGCTGCCGCCACTGCGCGCTCCCGGCATCCCCCGCGGCACGCATGCGCTCTGTGACGCCGCGCAGCCCGGGGTGCGGCCGGGTGGGGCCGGCGGCCGGGGAGGCCTGCCGCCCGCTCGCCGGTGCGCGCTGACCGCGGCGAGGTCGGACGCGTCGACGCGGCCGGGTTCCCCTGGCCGAGGCCCGCGCCTGCCCCCGCCCTGCGGCCGGCGGGGTGGTGCCCTGCGCGGTAGGACCCGCTCCTGGCTGCAGCTTCGGCCGACCCCAGCGCGGCGGCGGGAGGACGGGTCGGACGTGTGCCGCCGCCTCGGGCTCCGCAGTCGCCGCTCCGTCAGCTGTTGCGAGCGGCGGGTCTGCTCCTATAGCTGTCCAGATTGCTAGATGGTGTGCTACCTCCGTCTTGCCTCACCCAACCCCGTGCACCAACATTTAGGCCGTTGGAGTCAGGGCTTCTGTGACGGGGCCAGAATAATCATTTTAACGGAGCCAAAGGGCAAAGGCCTTCTCCAGCACCAAGTCCACCAGCCTGTTACAAGCACGGAGATGGTGAAGCAGAGACTTTGGAGCTCTGGTTTGTTTTCAGCTCTGAAAGCGCAAATTCAAGGTGGAAGAAAAAGGTGACACAGGCTTTGGGGTAGGGATGCTCTATTGGTTGAGAACAAGAGTAGCGAGAGCTATAATTGGTTACAAAATACCAAAGTATCCTATGGGGAATGTTATTCCTCCTACCCAAGTGTGAAGTTGACAGGAGACGCTGTCACATCCAGAGTGTGCTAACTGGAGCTGAGCCAGCCAGTAAACTTTCAGGAAGGAAGCAAAGTTAAGACATCTGTGCTGTGCTAATGATGTCAGGAACAATTTCCAAATTACAGTTCTTCGTCCAGTGCTACACTCAATAACATGCTTCCAACCTGAAATGTTCATCACTTATTTTCCTGGCTCCTGTAACTAAAAATGCCAGTGTTCTTCAACATTAACTAAAGCGATGAGTTTTAGAACTAATCTGTTTGTTTCCTCTCCGGTACCATCTGCAGTCTGAGTAAAACTGCAGTAGGATCTCCTTGTTCTTAGGTCCTTTAATTTGACCATGCTTTCCTTTATGGGTGGATCATGATGGTTACAGCTGATGAGTTTAATCCAGTCATCTTTTCCCACCCCTCAGCCTGTAAATATCACCCACCCTCAGCTTAGGAGACGGCCTGGCTTTCCCCATTTGTGAATGTCGGCTCACCTCGTGAACCCTGTCTTTCAAAACCCATCATTCAGTGATGGCATATTGTATGGGGGCAGAAATGGCAAGGATGAGCAAGTCGAAAATAACTAATGAAAAAACAAAACAAAACAAAACTGGAGCTCTTTACAATCTGATAATTCATATCATGACTCCTGTTAAAGAAACAGCCACGACAGTTTTGTGTCCATATAGTATAAAGTGGAATGGAAATTCCAACAAGTTCTTCCTCTCCTGTTGTGGAGGATTTACTTCCTAGTCGTGATCAGAAGGACACGAGGGGCCTGGGGCTGCGGTGGGTTCCGCCTCCAGCACCATCATCAACAACCGACAGAGGGGCCTACACAGCGGTGCTGAGTTCAGGTAGAACAGCATAGGCTGGAGCTGGCAGAAAAGGGTCACGAAGGTGTTGATCCTTGAGGGTGGAGAGGTGTGAGAAGGAGTGAGGCGCGGAGGGGTACTGTAGGTGTTACCAACAACACAAAGCAACAGAGCTAGGATTCATGGCCTATGACACAGTTCTTCACAAACTCATTGTTAATTACCTTAGAAATGACACTAAAGCCAGAGGGCCTGGAGAGATGGGTCAACAGTTAAGAGCACTGGTTGCTCTTCAGAGGAACCTGGATTCGATTCCCAGCACCCGCAGAGTGGCTGGCAACCTTCTGTAGCTTCAGCTGCAGGAGGATCCTGTGCCCTCTTCTGAGTTCCTTGAGCACCAGGCAAGCATGTGGTGCACACACGTGCAGACAGACACTCACACACATAAAGATAACTTTAAAAACAGAGTTCCAAATTCTAATCCAGGCTCTTCCCGTATGTGTCCACCTTGAATCAGAAGAGAAAGAAGTTCAAGATGCTAAGTCGGTACCTTAGTTAAGATACTTCCAGGATAATGTGAAGATTATTTTTCCTGTTGCTGGGAATCTGACCCAGGACCTGGAATCCTAATCCTGAGCTACACACTCAGTCCTAACTAGGGGGTTAAACTTTTTTTAGGCTTATTTTATGTGCGTGAGTGTTTTGTTGTTTTGTTTTGTTGTTGAGATAGGGTCTCACTATGTAGCTCTTGAACTCGTTATGTAGAGCAGGCTGTCCTCAAACAGACAGATCTGCCTGCTTGTTTCCTGAGTGGTGAGACTGAAGGCGTGTGCCACCCTGCCCGGCCATATTTGTACGTGTACATTCTGTATAGAGTGGATGGTTGTGAGCCACCATGTAGGTACTGGGTACAGAGCCCAGACCCTCCGGAAGAACAGCAAGTGCTTTTAGTGGTTGAGCAATCACTCCATCCCTAAGGATTTTACAAACATTTTTTTATGTGCGATGAAGTACAACTAAGTGCTTAGGACTGGTACAAGATATTTCCTCCTGCAATTAAAACATTTTTTTAACTCTTAGATTTTTCTCTGTTGGGCCTAGAGAGATGGCCCAGCAGCTAAAAGTCTTTACTGTTCTCCCAGAGAGCTAGAGTTGGTTTCTCAGCACACACATGTGTATGGATATCCAGAGCCTGTGCAAGCACATGCCCTCACATGCACCCATATACATACAGAAACATAGACATAATTAAAAATAATAAAAATAGAAGTTATTTGTAAGGACTGGAGAGATAAGCCAGCAGTTAAAAGCATATGTTGCCCTCCCAGAGGATCTGAGTTCATTTCCCAGCACCCAGGCAGCTCACAACCTGTTACTCAAGTCCCAGGAACTCCCCTTTTTTGGTTTTACTATCACACATGAACACATGCAGTACACACAGACAGACATGCAAAGAAGACATTCACACATAAAGTAAAACTTTTAGAATCTTAATTAAGCATTTTAAAAGAATGAGTTATCGAAAAGAATAATAAATGCAATTGTTTTTCTGGTTCTAAATATGTCATGAATTGTTTGTTTTTGGTAGTGGATAAGTGCATAAAAATATATTCAATAATATATATATGATCGGAAAAGTATAAATCCAACATGAAGCTCCACAGCTTCCGAATGGCTGCACTGTATGTACAGAAGTCCATCGGATTGTATAGCCTTTCATAAGGTTAATTTCGGTGTGTGATGATTTTTTTATTTGCAACATTTTTGTAACAAAGTCATTTAAAAGAACAAAAACAAATTTTAAGCGAAAACTCTTCCGGCGTCACACGGCCATCGCATGAATATATTGTCAGCTCCTAGACTAACTTGGCGTTAGCAGTCCGTCTTACTGCCAAAGGGTTTAGATGCCAAGTCTTTGTTCAGAGCGGCCCCAAGAATAAGCATCCCAGGTTTCTTGAGCCAGGGCCTGGCTCGTCCTCCTGTTGACAGGAATTGGCTTTCTGCAGCCACCGTCCGCCGTGAGGTCTCATCCAATCAGAACTGCGCAGGAAGAGGCGGGCCTGAGAGGCGCGCAGTGTGCATTCTGCTCAATCTGCTTGCTGATTTCAGCATGGAGGAAATTTATGCTAAGTTTGTGTCTCAGAAAATTAGCAAAACCCGCTGGCGGCCAGTGCCTTCCGGGAGCCTGCAGACCGCAGAGACCTTCGCTACGGGCTCCTGGGACAATGAGGTACCCGGTCCCGGGCGGGCCCCGGCTGCTCCGCTCCACGCCCCCCGCGCCCCGCGCGCGAAAGCAGCTTCTGGAATGCCAGTCTCCTGCTCGGCTGTCTGCTACCTGAGCCCCTGCTGGAGTAATGAGCTCCGATCTGGCTTTAAACCCTCACCAAATCTGTAGTCATTCCGTCCGAACCGGGCCATTATCTGTGATCTTTTCAACTCTTACTATCGTTTGAGATGCTGTTGAAGCAAGGTCGCTCGAAAGGCAATCTGAATTTTACTTTCCTTAGATTTGACGTTTTCGTGACCTCAAGTTAAAACTTTCTGCTTTGCAGGAAAATTGCGTATCACTGTGGTCTATTGGAGATTTTGGAAACTTGGATTCTGACGGAGGGTTTGAAGGAGACCATCAGTTACTGTGCGATATCAGACATCATGGTGATGTCATGGACTTACAGGTAAATCTTAGTTGTTCCCCAAAGCTAACATGGGACATTTAAAACTATACTTAGAGGTAGTGTAGCACCTTATAGTTTTTCTACTCCCACCCCTGATTTACAAGACACTGCTCCCTATGAGTTATAACCTGCCATTGTTTCGGCACTTAGTGACGGAAGTGGAGGTGGGAAAGGGAATTCAGATAAATCCGTTATAAAATTAATTGCCTTCGAAAGCCTCTAATTCCAGTCCATGGGAGGCAGAGGCAGGCTCTCAAGGTCAGTCTAGGCTACATAGTAAGACCTTATCTTAAATAACAGTAATATTTGCCCATCTGTCTGCCACGTGCTGTTTGGTGAGTTTCATACAAGCATGCTAAAATACATTGCATGTCTGTGAGTTGGGTTTATCATTGCCTGTTGGGATGAGGATAATCTCAGGACCTCATGCAGTCTAGGGACAGGCTCTCTACCGTTGAGTTGGTGTATTCCCACCCTCAAGTACTGTTCACTGCTTCACCAGTTAGATGAGACTGCTGTCTTTTGACCATATAGTAAATATTGTGCAGGATTGTTCTTGTGATTCCTCTAAAAACTTAGTATAAAACGTAAACCAGTTTTCAAAGCTGGACTAGTGATAGATGCTTGCAGTCCCAGCTGCTTAGGAAGCTAAGGCAAGAAACCAAGATGAGTTTGGACAACAGATAACCCCCCTCATCAAGAAATTCTGTATGAATTCAGATGTTAGGCATTTTACTCAGCAAAAAGCTGCCTATACTTAGGAATGACATATTTCCAAACTCATTGCAGCCCAAAACCAAAAATCTGAAGTAAAAATTTAAACTTAGTATTAAACCTTCATGAAAATACTCCTAATTTTTATGAAAATTTTTACTTTTCAGAGGTTAACATGTTTCATTTGCTTAGTGTTTGCTTCTTTAAATTCTTACATGGTTTGCTACTAGTCAAGGTGAACCAATGGAGTTCTTTTCCTGTTAATATTTCTAAATCTATAATAATACACAGAAATTTTCTGTTTAGTTTTTTGACCAGGAAAGAATTGTAGCTGCTTCATCAACAGGATGTGTAACAGTTTTCCTTCACCATCCAAATAACCAGGTAAAGAGCTTTTGTTGGGAAAGTAACTTGTATTTTAGTTATTTCTGGAGTGTTTAGTAAGTACACCATATTTAGTAGGGTCAGTCACTGGGCACACTCCTGGAGCGCCCACGTTTCTAGAAGATGAGCGAAAAGGACTGTTTGATCATAGTAGC